AGGCCAAGAAAGTAGGTGCAGAACTGGATTAGCCTTGTGATGTTCCCACTGGAGTCTCCTCATGCTCCAGGCCTATTGACATCGCATGTGAGGGACTGACCATGCCATGACGAAAGAGCACAGTGTGTTGTGGCAGTCCTGGAACTGTTTGCCCAGAGAGGCTTTCCTCACCCTTTCCCTGTATGGGTGCAGAAAAGAGTTAACATAGCAAACTTGAAACTGGCTTAGAAAGCCGTACTTGCAAGCGTGGCTTTGTCTGGCATCTGGGAACTTGGACTTCAGGAGTCTTCCCACTGTTCCCTGACTGACAAGTGGGGCTGGCTAGGCCTAAAATGTATAAAAAGTGTGGTTCACGCTGAACACCTGCTTCCTTCAGGGAGTCTGGAAAATGGGGATGAGCTAGGCAGAGGGTACCTATGTGACCAGCCCCCCATAAACACCCTGAGCCTCTGGTGAGCATCCCTGGCAGATGACATTACATGAGTGTTGTCACAACTCATTGCCAGGGTTGGTAGGCACAGCCCCTGTGCCTTGATTAGGAGAGGACCTTTGGAAGCTTCTGCCTGGTTTCCTCTGGACTTTGCCCAAGTGCCTTTTCTCTGCTGATTTGGATTTGTATCTTTTTGTCATGATTTATCGTGTAGTACATATAATATATGTACATTTGTATCTGGTCGTGGCCATGTGGGTGGCCGAGTCTGGGGAGTCCTCCTAGTGAATCACAGAACCTGGGAATAGCCTTGGGGCCCCCAACACAGAAATGGTGGCGCTAAATTTGCAGGCGGTGTTTTCCAGAGTGCTTTGTCAACTGATTCTACTGGAGTTCAGCAAAATGGCAGACAAGGGAGGGAGAGGGAGCGGGAAGAAAGGGACAAGCTAGGATGTTTCTTTCCTCCCTCTTGACCCCATACAGTGTTTCTTGTAATGACTGCATCTAAAGCTCCCACCAGACAAGACCACACAGTTCCAGTGCCTGACCTACCCTCAGCCCTCCCGCTATGATGACACCAACTCCTCTCTGCTGTTGCTAATTGTGGAGTTGACTCACCTTCTCCTGTTTGGTTTCTTGTCTCTTCTCTCACCTGTGCAACCAATCCTCTACCTTAAATTCCTTCTTTTAGAAAGACCTAAAGTGGTTTTCGTTTTCCTGGATGAACCTCATCTGTTATATTCCTTAAATATTTACTTGGGTCCACCTCCATGCCAGGCAAGGGGCATTCAGAAATAGAAGACATCATCCCATCCTGAAGGACCTCAGAGACTATGCACTTGTGGAAGTTGCATCCCTAGCACAGTTCAAGATTCATTGTGTAACCGGAATCCTTTGTTCTGATGTCTCAGTCATACAACCACGAGGAAATGCCCTGTAAAATGAATGGGCTTCAGCCACATTCTAGGGCTTGGTGCCTTGGACACATTTTTATCGACTTTGTTAAGCACAAGGGAAGCCACTGCGTTTATGATGCTTATGAGGTTAGTGGTTTGGGGGAGTCAGAAAGCCAACCACTGTGTGTGTATGTTCACACAGCCAATTATTAGTCTAAGGCCAAAACTGACACCGTGGAGGTGGTTGTGAGGGTGACAATCCTGTTCTGAATGCACAACTCAACCCCAAGTCCTGGGGGCACCTGGCATCTGCACAACCTCATCTGAAGGGTACCAGGGTGGCTGCTCATCCTCCAACCCCACATGGGTGAGGGTATCTTGGAATCCTGGATACTCGGATTTGATGTTTGCCAGGAGAACTACCAGAATATGATAGTTAGAGATTGGGGGGCTGGTTAAAAATGTACTGAGGAGACCTGAAATTGTATGAATGCTGAGGGGAAGCAGTGCTAGACATCTTTAGGGCCTTTCTGTAGCACTCAGCAAGGAATGTGGCAAAGATGGACTTTGGATAGTTAAGTGGTCAGCAGCCTCTCTCCAGGGAACTCTGGCTGGAGTCCCTACCTTTTTGTAGTCTAGTGCGGGTACAGCCAAGGAAACAGAACATGATCATGCAGTGTGAGGAGCACTACAACAAGGTAAACTCCTCACAAGACATCTGGGGAGTCAGTGGAGGGAGGCCAGGCAGGAAAGAAAGATGGCAGAGGAAGATGGTAGGGAAGAAAGATGGAAGCCAAATGGCAGAAGCTTAGTGATGAAGAGGAAGAGAGGAGAAACAACAGTGGAAGGTGGGGAGGGGAGACTGGGGAAGGTTTTTTAAAATACTAGAAACCTTAAATCGTATGAATGCTGAGGGAAAGAGCAGTGCTAGAGGCAGGGTCTAGCTTGTATAGGGCCTTGTCAGTTTAAGCGTGCAATTTATCCAATAAGCAAAGAGAAGTAGCCATATAAGGGCTTTGAGCAAATAATTTGATTTCGGATTTGAGCCCCGAAATATTCATTCTGACTGCACTGTAGAGAATTGGCTGGAAAGGGGTTCATGGGTAGATTCAAGGGTTATTTAAGAGGTAGGATAGAAAATATTTGCTCAAGGATCGAATTTGATGTTTGAGGAAGAGAAACAAGGAAGCCTCAAGAATGATGCCCACATGTCTGGCATACCACCTTCGTGTAAGGTGATGGTATTCACTGAGGTAGGGAACTCCTGAGATGCACCAGGTTTTCAGGGAAACTGATACATCTCATGTTAGACATGAGGAGCGTGTGTTGTCACTGGAATGTGACAAGCGAGGATAGCCAGTAGGCACTTAGATAAGGGAATCTGCAGTTCTGGAAAAGATCCTGACTAAAGACCCAGATTTGGGAGGTGTCGGGATATAGATGGAACTTTAAAACAATGGGAGTTACTGAGACAATCAAGGAATATTGTGCTGTGCTGCAGGAAACCGCAGTGTTCAATGTCAAGGAGGCCTAGGAAAAATGTCTTCAAAGAGAGAGTTCAGCGCTTCCAAAAGGTCAGGTAAATAAGAACTGAATCCTGTCTTTTGGCCTGAGCACAGGCCTCGGAGACCTCCAGGTTCACTAGAATGATGAGGTGGAAGCCAGATGGCAGAAACTTAGTGATGAAGGGGAGGAGAGGAGGAGTAACAGCAGCAGGGGGGACATAGGTTGGGGGAGGTTTTTTAATAAATATTGAAGAGACCTGAAATTGCATGAATGCTGAGAAGACACAGTGTTAGCAAGCAGGAGCTTGAAGCTACAAGAGGAAGAGTGAATAAGAGACACAACAAAGCTCTGGAGAACAAGGCAACATAGAAGCCTGGTTTGGAGATGCAGGAGGGAAGAGGGACCTTTCCAACTTTAGTAACAGGAAGAAAGAGGAAAAGATAGATAAGGTTGCAGGTGAGTTCATAGATCTGGTAGCAGAAAATTGAGAGCATTTCTAACCAATGGCATCTTTTTTTTTTTTTTTTCTTCTCTATAATATCAGGAGATTGAGTGGCAGGGTCAGAATTTTGAAGACAGTAAAGAGGGTTAGAAATAGCCATGTTTGACTGGGTGCAGCGGCTCATGCCTGTAATCCCAGCACTTTGGGAAGCCAAGGAGGGTGGATCACCTGAGGTCAGAAGTTCAAGACCAGTCTGGCCAACATGGTAAAGCTGGCATGGTGCTGTGCACCTGCGGTTCCAGCTACTTGGGAGGCTGAGGCAGGAGAATCACTTGAACCCGGGAGGTGGAGGTTGCACTCCAGCCTTTGCAACAGAGCAAGACTCCATCTGAAAGATGAAAGAAAGGAAGAAAGGAAGGAAGAAAGAAAGAAAGGAAGAAGGAAGGAAGGAAGGAAGGAAGGAAAGAGAGAGAAAGAAAGAAAGAAAGAAAGAAAGAAAGAGAAAGAAAGAAAGAAAGAAAAAGAAAAGAAAGGAAGGAAGGAAGGAAGGAAAGAGAGAAAGAAAGAAAGAAAGAAAGAAAGAAA